TCTCTCTGGGGAAGGGTCTGGTGAAATTACCAAGGAAGTACATAAGATGGTCCTTCCACTGGCTCCAGACCATCTCTTACAAGTGAAATGTTAGCTACATAGAAGTCTAAGACTGATTTTATTTGTTCTACATGTAATATGTATGTTTTCTTTTTAACCAAGGCAAGCATACTGCAGTTTGGCACAGGGGGGAAGTATTATGAGACATAGCCATAGTGAAATTCCATATAATTCCATATAATTTTTTCTTTCCCTATTCTACTCTTTATGCACACACTGCTGTGCCCTATTTTATCTCTTTTAATATCTCATCTCAGAAATGGGGTCTATTGATATTCATTTGACAAGCTCGTTCTCACACACTTTAGAGATGTTCAAGGGGGGAGGGATAGCTCAGTGGTTTGAGCATTGGCCTGCTAAACCCAGGGCTGTGAGTTCAATCCTTGAGGGGGCCATTTAGGTATTTGGAGCGAAAATTGGGGCTTGGTCCTGCTTTGAGCAGGGGGTTGGACTAGATGGCCTCCTGAGGTCCCTTCCAACCCTGATATTCTATGATAAGTGGTCATTGAGAGGGCATAAATACCCCTTCCCACAAGACTCATTTTTTGCCCTTTTTTCCCCTTACCTCATTCTCTTCCCCACCCCTGGAAATTTGAAATAGCATTTTTAAACCCTGCAAAAGATTCAGTGGGATAGTTTAAGTACTTGGAAAGCTTGTTTTAAAGCCTTATCTGTGCTGGAGAAAATAACATGGATTATTGGGAAGGCAACAGTGAGTGTAACTTATATCTGAAATTTGTACGGATAAACCCCGTGGCTCAACCAGTTGTGTATCAGTGTAGACCCAGCCACAGTTGGTGCCCTGTCAACTGATACTTATCAGAGTTCACAATACCCTCAGCTAGTGAATGGTCCTCAGTTTGTTGATTGTGAGTTTTCCCTCTCTGCCCTTGCTTGGCCCTCTTCCCGCCTCTGGTTTCCTCACTTCCCAGAAGAGCCCCTCTGTATGCTTTAGAAATACCTCTGGCTCTGTATGTCCTCATCTGATGAAGCACCTGTAGCTCAGTAGCTGAAACTGTACTCTGTAGCTTTTCTACTCACCTCCAGTAATGTCCCCTGCTCTGACTATGCCACTGCTTGCTTGTGGTTCATCAGAGTGAGAATGTCAGCCATAATGTGGGCCTGCCACAGGGAGAGTGGAGTTGGTTAAGGTGTTCTGTTAGCTTTGGAGTGTTAGGGAGAATCTGGTACCTGAGGTATTGTAAGGAGCACAGCTACCAATTGTGCTCTTGCTGCCTCTAGAGCTGGAGAATCATCCGTGGATTGCAATCTGAAGCATTCACTCTGACAAACTACCTGTAGTTTGTTAGAGCAAGAGGATTGACTGGTGAACCATTAGTGACTCACTGAGTAGCAGATAGAGGTGGAGGCATTAGTGTAGGTGTTCTGTCCAGTGGTGGCAGTGGGATGGGAGGTTAATGGGGTTTAAGAAATACAGCCTTAACTGGTGGTCGGTCACAAACTGAGGACCTTCAGAACAGGAGGGAGGGCATGTCTCAATGGCATTTCTATGGAGCAGGATATACTGAAAGGATGAGGAAGGCGGAGAGGGGACTCTTAGTTGGCAAGTAAGGATATGTGCTGTCTTAGGCAGCAGTGAAAGATAACTGTCCACATCTTTATTTTAGGGCAGCCTTCATGTAAATTCAGATCAATGCAGGTGGTTTTTGATCTGCAAGGCCACATTCATTTACGATTTGCCATGATGAATGTGGACACAAGGGCAAAACTTAAATCAATTAAGGGAGGCAAGTGTGGACTCAAGTGTTGGTATTTCCATCAGTCCTGTATGACCAGTTGAAGAGCAATAACTGATGGCTCTAGTGTAGACAAGCCCTTATTTTTGGTGTGCTTTTTATCGTTTTTATGACCTGGTGGCTGCATAGAAAATTCAAATCACCCAGGAGATTTCCACCCCACCCCCCTCATCCATTAAAGATTATGTGCTAAGGAAAAATCTTACTTCCTGGGACAGGAACAACATATATTGTAGAACAATACATAATATACGAGGCTTGTGGATTATATCCATGCCATAAAATGCTTGTGTACAAAACCATCAGGTCTGCTCTGTCTGTGTTGTAGATGATAAAACTTTAAAGATGCCATATTGGTTTGGGGCTGGGGGAGGCGGGGAGAGGAGAGTTTGGGGAAAGAAGGTAGGAATGGTGAGGTCTCTGGGAAAAAATCCTTCCCAACAGAAGACTTCATTCCATATTATGTAACTCAACAGGGGTTGGAAACCTGTTCTAGTTCAGCAAAAGACCACAAGTAAGAGGAAATATTTTCTTAGCTGCTTTGCCTTCCTTAGATTCTTAAACTATCTCATAAAACCATTGTACAGATTCCTTCAATACTTTCTTTGAAGTTCTGTGGGAGTAGTGGTCTATATTACATCAGAAAATTGTGAATGCCTGGCATTGACCTATAGTATGCAGCTGCTGATAGATAATAGTTGTCTCCTCAGTTGCAGTCCATATCTCCAATTGTTATTAATTTTTAGAGGTTTGAAACTTGTAGGGACCTGTGCTCTCACTGCCACTTGAAAATTTGAACAGTTGAACTGTCCTGTGAATTTGAACTGTTCTGGATCCACACAAATATTTTAAAAATAAAACAAATGGATTATAGTTTGAAATGAGGTATTGTTTCCTTTCAAATATCTGGTAGATACATTCATGTCAATGTGGCATTAATTGGAAACCATGTTGGCAATGTCAGCAGAGTTTTAAGTTTGAATGGACAGGGATACTAAACTATAAACTCTTATAACAGAGGTGTCAAATATATAGTCTGTGGGCCACACCTTTCCCTTTTAAATTTGATTGATTTGTCAATGACACTTCTGCAACATTAAATTTAATTGCTGATCACTTTTAATGAGGAAGGCAGTGGGAATTATTGCTGTAGGTATTGGGAATTGCTGCAGGGAATAAAGTGTAGAGGAAAGACTAGAGGAGGCTCTCAGACAATGAAGGGGCAGAGAAATAGAGTAAGGAGGATAGGAAACAAAGAAAAGGCAGGAATAGTTGTGGGCCTGAAAGGGAGCATGTTTTCTGAGTGAGCTCTGGATGTGAGAATAAGGCATGGAATAGAATAAAGATATGTAAAGCCACCTTCTTCCCGTGATCTCTATGGAAGCCTCCCATAGACATCAGAGGGCATTCTGAATAGTTAGCAGTCTGAATGTAGCTCTCCCTTCTTTCTCTTGAATTCTTGTTGAGGTATTTTGGGGAAGCTTGCTCAGGTTATGTTATGAGGCTTAAATAGAGATAGAAGTTAAAATCCTCTACTATCTGGTCATTTTAGTACTTGTGAAAAGGTAAGAGAAGGGAAACTCTCCTCTTTAAGTAGGAAAGGCACTAAAGAAACTGACCATGTTAACTACAGAATGAGATGTATTTGGCAACATCCCATAAGATTAGCAGATGATATACAATTAGTAAAACAGAATGAGATACAGTGAAAACCAGAACAGAATGTAACAAAGAAAATAAAAAAACTTGAAAGGTGGGGAAAGCTTGCTATGCTTTCATAATCAAAATTTGTCATACTTAATACTTCTCCATATCTAAACATTTACAATTACTTAAAGCAAATTTAAGCCACATATGGCTAAGCTCCCTGGAAAAAAGTATTTTAGAAAAAAAATCCTATCCTGCTCTGTTTGCTTGTTTTCCTGGTTATTTCTCCTGTGTGCGTTTATACAGTAAAAATGGCCCTTCTTGGGTTGCTTTGTACTATAGTACACTTTTTATTTTAAATATGGCTTTAATACTCAAGGAAAATAGGATAACAACAAGGAAGAAAAGAATATTATTAGAGAATCCTTAACTTTAGGTTTAGTTTGGGCCCTGTATATATCTCTGTGCATAGACAAATTTTTTTTTTTTTTTTTTGACTGGGAAAGCTCTGCTTTAACATTCTGTTGAACTAAACATGGCTTAATAAAAGCTTATTACAAGACTAGCCTTGTAGGTATTTAATATCAAAGCGCAAATTTAATATTAGGAAAAATCGATTATATCAGAACATCTTAATATATTTGTGCAAATTAAGTTTTTAGTACATGTTTGTATCTTGTAGAAATTCTAAAAAATAAGGATAATTCTATAATTTGAAAGGGGAGGAGGGCAGCTTTGAAACATTTAGAGAAAATCAGTAAACTCATTGTCAGAACCTAGAAATAATACAATTTTAAAGATTTTTTAAAAAAAAAATGTTTTTATAAAAATAGTTACTTGCACTTTACCTGCTGGCTTTTCAATTTTGGTAGATAACATTCTGAACTCCAGCAGAGTTTTATAATCCCTAGTGCTTAAATATACTAAATGTTCTTTTTCCATTAAGGTTAATGTTCGTGAAGAAATTGAAGAGTTTTTTCCAAGATTGTGGAAGATAAATCAAGATAAAAGAAGGCTAATGAAAAATATTAAAGATCAGAAAATTAAAATTGAATGGGGGAAAAAATTGAACAGAAGATTGGTCAGATAGAAGCACTTGAATGTTTTTTTAAGGCTATAATGAATTGTTTGAATTGGGGAAGATACACGAAGTATGAAAAATGAAAAACTCAATGAAGAATGAAGAAAAGTAGAAAGCAAGAGTGAAGTAGAATTAAAAGAATCTGGAAGAATGAATGGGTCCTAGGTTAAGTAAATGTATGGTTTATGTTCCAGTGTCTGTATGATCAAGTTGTAGATGAATTTGCATGATTACTTAGTTAATAGAGAATTGGTGATCTGGTTCAAGTAGGGAATTATTTGAGGAAAGCATACAATATTAACAGTGGGTTAACAGACTGAAATTTGTTCAGGAGGGTATTGCCTAACCATTTGTCTTTCAGGAGCAATCAAAATATTATAATTACGGTACTTTAAATGTTAGGAGTTAGGCATTTATGTGACCAGTACCATTTGTAATACTATCTTTTTTGTTAGGAGTCTCGCTCCCAGTCAAAATCTCCAGCTGGGAGTCCTGCTCGTGTAAAATCGGAGAGCAGGTCAGGATCTCGTAGTCCATCGAGGGCTTCCAAACATTCTGAATCGCATTCCCGGTCGAGGTCAAAATCCAGGTATGTACTGAATTTGATAAAAATGAATTCTGCATCATATATCCATGGGTATGATGTAAGATACCTAGAGCTTCTGATATTTAGTTTCAACCAAGAAACACATTAAAACTCTCTAATATAGAAATCTGTTAGACCCAATAAACAGTGGAAAAACATCAGAAATGTTTACTTGTATCTGAAGTCTTGCCTACATGAAGCAGAAATGTAGACTGTTGCATAACATGTTGGGCATTAACTGGGCCCTGTTGTTCTGCACTAAAATCCCTAGTGCACTTTAATATAGGGCTGTTTCAAACAGCACCATGTTCTTCTTTGAGGAGTGTCCATGTGGATGCTCCACTTCAGGTGAATCTGCGCGCCTGTGCTTGGAATCAGCGATTTTTAGTATCCATGCCTGGTTGGGTCACAGGTGTGCTGTCCCCATCTCAGAGTACCAGTTTATAACCCAGTTAGTTCATAGTTAACTGCCCTATCTTTTCCCTGTTTGTTTTTCTTAAAAAAAAAAAAAATAATAATAATAAAATCTTATTTTAGGAGTTTGTTTGTTATTAGTGTACTCCTTAGTGTAGTATAGTTACCCTCCCTCATGGGAGAACCGTATTCTAAGGGGCATGATCAGCTGTCCCTACCACCCTCTCAGAGGAAAGAGCACTTCCCCAAAAAAGCGACAGAGAAATGGGCTCCAACTTTCCTGTCTCAGAAAGCTGCCAAAAAGAGACTTTTTCCAGCCTCTCGGACATATCAGTATTGACTGCACCGAGACCATCCACCTCTAACATGGACCCATTCGGTACTGTGCGAACAGAAGACCCTAAGAGGGCTAGCTCAGAAAAAGGCAAAAACAGGAAAATCCCTGCCTCGGTACTGCCAAAGCTAATCAAATGTGGCAGTAAGCAGTTTGGCACTACTACAATCTATGGCACTACCTCCTGCCTCCACAGTGCATAGTGCAAGGCCCTCGGCACCAGCAACTGAGGTAAAGGCGCTGGTACCGCTGACAATACCCTCCTTGGTATTGATGCTCTCTGTACTGCAGCAATTCCTCTGGCATAAGGACCCTTTAGTCTCAACAGCACTGGAATCTCCATTCCTCAGTACTGATCTTACTCCAGCATGTTTGGTACTGTACCAAATTACCACACTAGCAAGATCAGCTCCTCCTTTATCCAGATATGATGCTAATGATAATGAAGGGGAAATCTACTCTTCCCACTACTCCTCACCTATCCACACCAGACCAGGTCCACTACAACAGGAGTACCAACTCAAGGATGGTATAGACACCCATGGATGCTGCCACCAATGCCATTTCCATCACAGTGGTCTCATTGGGACTCATGGGCAGTGTACTGCAAACCCAGTCCTAAGCCTCCCAGTTCACAGAGAGAGGATGAGGCGTTCCTTATCACCCTTTGCACCTGTACCCTCTGCATCTCTGGAAGAGGCAGTTGAGGGAAGTCACCCTAGATACCAGTTTTTCATCCTTCTTTCTGGATGAAGCTGTCATTCTTCCACCATCCACAAGGGGGGGATGACTTTAAACAGTTCTGAGAACTATTTAAAAGAGTCACAGATTTATTAGAGATTCTGTTGGAACAAGTTGCAGATTCCCAACATAAGTTGTTGGACATCCTCCAGACTTCAGCCTCTTCTGAGATTGCCCTACCAATAAACGAGGCACTCATGGACATGGTCAAGACCATCCAGCAGACCCTGGCAACAATTCTACCCGCTTGTAAAAGAGCGGATAAAAAAATACTACGTCCCCTCCAAGGGAATGGAATTTTTGTTTTCCCATCCCACACCAAACTCTCCGGTGGTAGAGGCTGTGAATGAGCGGGGTAGGCAACATCACTCTAGAACCACTCCGTATGATGGAGACTGGAAGTGGTTAGACCTCTTTGGGCGTAAGGCCTACTTGTCAGTAACCCTACAATTCAGGATTGCCAATTATGAGCCACCGATGGCCAAATACAATTACACAAATTATTGAAAAAATGTCTGAATTTATTGATGATCTCCCTGAGGACAAAAAAAAAAGCAGTTCAAGAGCAACCACATCAGAGGCCCACCTTCTCACTTGAACAGTCTTACAAGCCTCTCTGGACATAGCAGCACATTCCATAGCCATAGTCATGTGACAAGTTCCCTGGCTCCACCTCTCTGGTTTTCCCAAAGAGGTACAGTCTACTGTCAAGGATCTCCAGTTCGAGGGTCCAAAGCTGTTTGGAGCCAAGATTGATGAGTCTCTTCACACGTTAAGACTCCAGGGTGACTCTCAAATCATTGGGCATTTACATACCTTCTCAAAAGAAAAAAATAGAAGTATTATTTGGCGTAAAGAACAAGCTCTACACCCAACCTCAGAGGCATTATGACCCGGAAAGACAAAGACCCACTAGACAGAGACCACTCTCTTCTCAGCCCCTTACATCCCAACAACCTGCCTCTAAACAATGGTTTCAAGGATTCAGTCGAGGACCAAACATACCTCCCACAAGAGTCTTCTATTGCTGGAACCATCCAGCACCATCCATCCATTCGGAGACTGTCTGACTCCATTCCACCCAGCATGGCAAAACATCATGTCAGACAAATGGGTACGGGAAATCATCAAGACTGGCTCTTCTGTCCAATTTGTCTCCATTCCCCTTACCTATTCTCTGCCTCTCATTAGGGATCCTTCTCATGAACACCTACTATGACAGGAGGTAAACCATCTCATACCTGGGGCAATGGGGGAAGCGTCATACCTGGGGGGCCCAAAATACAAGTGGACACAGGGTGCCATTTTCCTAAAGGTCAGCCCTGACTACACGATATTCCTACCTTCACAAATGGAAAAGATTCTATATATGATGCCAGAATAGGCAAACAATGGCAACTACCGCTCCTTTACCAGTGGTATTGGATTACATACTAGAGCTCAAGGAACTTTGGTCTTTCAATGAGCTCGATCAGAGTACATCTCGCAGGAATCATGGCGTTCCTCCACAAAGTGGACAAGTTCTTGATCTTTGCCCAGCCTACCACTAAAATGCTTCCTCAAGGGTGTTTGTAATCTTTAACTCATAATACGAGCCACTACTCCATCATGAGACGTCAGGTTGGAGCTGCAATGCCTTATGGGGGCCCCTTTTGAACAATTAGTGACATGTTTACTTCTCCGCCTTTCAGTGAAGATGGCCTGCCTTGTTGCTGTCAGATCTGCCTGACAAGGAGAAGAACTGGGGGCCCTCATGGTACATTCCCTATGCACAAAATTTTTGAAAAACAGTTACCCTGTGACCACATCCCAAATTCCTACCTAAAACAGTTTCATCATTACATTTGAATGAACCCATCCATTTCCCATCATTCTTCCCAGAACCTCATGGGACCAAACGTTTCATATCCTGGGCATCCCGGGCACTAGTTTTTTACAATGAAAGGATCAAGTCTTTCCTGAAGTTACCAAAGTTATTTCTTTCCATCACGGAACGATCTACAGGAGACACCATATCCAAACAAAGGCTGTGGAAATGGATCACCAGCTGGATTGACTTTTATTGCCATCAACAGCTACAACTCCCACCTGGGACCCGTACATACTCCACCAGACCATTCTTCACATCAGTAGCCTTCCTCAACAATGTGCTTGTTATGGACATCTGCAAAGCTAGCAACCTGGGCATCAGCCCATACATTTACATAGCACTATGTCACAGAGCTGCATTCATCATCAGATGCTCTACTGGAACTTGTGGTTTTATTATCTGCCATAACTGCAACTCCAAAACCCCTCTATTCCACCAAGGAGGGGCACTGCTTTACAGTCACCTAAAGTGGAGCTTGCACAATGACACTCCTTGAAGAAGAAAGTGTTACTAGCCCCGTGCAGTAACTGCGGTGCCTCAAGATGGTTGTCCCTGTGGGTGCTCCACTACCTTTCCTCCTCCCCTCTACATCAGCGTTTTCACACCAGAGACTGGAGTAGAGAAGGAACCGAAGGGGGGGCAATTGGTCACACAGCACTATGTAGCCACCGGAGGCGGCGTGAGACGGGGACAGCGCATGTACGACCCAACCAGGTACCGCTACTAAAAACTCCTATTAAAAGCGCAGGGGCACAGATTCACCCGAAGTGGAGCATCCACAGGGACAACCATCTCGAAGAACCTCAGTTATTGTACAGGGTGAGTAACTGTCTCTTAAAGCACACTAGGGAAAATTACAAATATTACTCATTACAATAGATACAAAGAGAGTGTCCTGGTGAAACTCCAGTGTTTGAACAACTACATAACACTCAAATTGCTAAAAAAAACAAACACCCCCTCCTTCCCAAATGAAATTAACAAACCTGAAAAACAGAAGCCCCAAAATACCTTATTGTGATTGTCATTGTTCTTGTTTGTTATTGGGACATAGTTTCCGCTTTTTGTCCCTAATGCGCTGTTTATACAGACAGTAACAAAAGAGCTACCTGGCCCTAACACATCCTCTTAAGAAGTACTCCTATACAGGGGCAGAAAACAGTCTTGCAAACACTATCTTTGTAGCTACTGTTTTACAGTGTGGTATACATAATATAATTAATGTGCGTGGTACTGTTTTCACTTCCAACTTTGGTAAAAGGTTTTATAAATTATAGTTTTGGGAACATCCCATACTCTTGACTGAAAAGTTGTGGAGCGATCTGAGCTGCGCTAGTTAGTCTGAGAACCCAGCTTGCGGGGGTGTGTGTGTGTGTATATATGTGTGTGTGTGTGTGTATATATATATATAGTGACAAAGTTCCTGCTCTACCTTGGTGGGTCTTGCGCTTATTGGTGACTTGGAGCTTCACGGCAGCCGTCAGCTTGGCCGTTTTTCTGAATTCACAGTCCAGGTCGACTCTCCTGTCTGACCAGGAGTTGGGAGGATTTGGGGGGAACCCGGGCCCGCCCTCTACTCCGGGTTCCAGCTCAGGGCCCTGTGGAATGCAGCTGTCTAGAGTGCCTCCTGGTACAGCTGTGCGA